CCAGATCTTTTACAGCAACTACTTCAACAGTCAACTGAAAAGATGAAGTTAGTGGGAGGATCAGTCCAGGCACTAGGTGACACTACACTTGAGGAGGCAGTGGAATATTTTTCTTCTCTCTATAAACTGCTAAATAAGAAGCTGCAGACGAAGCAGACGGCAGAGAAGAGGCTTTTTCAAGTGATCGCACAAGTAGAAAGGGCAGCCATGAGGAAGTTCAACTCAGAAGATTCAACTCTGCATAGTGAGGATAGTGGTATCGGAGGAGAAAATGAGAGTCTGACGGGTTCTGAAAGGCATCGCCGGCATCGTGGAAGTGCTGGATCTGACAGTTGGGGGTCTGGAGCCAACATTCGGAGTGCATTTGATAGTCTTCCCAGTAATTCAACCAACCTTGGAGACCATAATGAAGATGAGGATGAGGATGAGGATGATTATGATGACGATGATAAAGAGAATGAAGAGGAGGAAAGTGATACACGAGGAAGGAAGAGGTCGAACTCTTCCCCACCTGATCCCAGTCAGGCCATTCATTATATGTTCACAAATTACAATCGAGATCAGCAGGCAACAGTCAAACAACCGCTAATTGATCCTGTTATTGCAAAGCCTGAACACCTTTCATTAACTACGTGTGGAATGACAGAATTACAAAACAGCCAGTGGGTCTTGGATGATAGAATAAAGATGATGGCTGAAATACAAGGAAACAAGGAATTACCAAGACCTCATTGCAAGCTGGATAGAGCTGAAGTAAGACGGCATTCATTAAATGGATTGTCAGGTTCACACAAAGGTGTTGTGAGACCAAATAAGACAAATTGTTCCGTAACAATCTTAGCAAACCAACCACCAAAACGCCACTCTGTCAGAAGGTTAATTCATACCTTTAGCAAAGTAGCTGATGGGAGACCTGAGCAGAGTCTCACTAATATTCCACCTCATAACAGGATGCCCAGGAAAAGTGGCTTACTTCAGTTATCTGACGCAGTAAATGACAAGGAAAGTTCAGTCAACAGTGGCAACAACAACAACAGCTGGCCTGATAGCAAGGACGAGCTGGATATGGACAACCTACCACCACCCCCCCCAGAAGTTCTGATGGACAATTCCTTTCAGAGTACTCAGGTCCTAGCAGGAACTGAAGTGGGTTTGCAGAAACCTTTTAGTTGTCAAGTGATAAACCCCAAGATTGGAATCTTCCATCGCCTGAAGGCATCTATCCACAATGTAGAAGTGTTACCAAATCGAGTATGTATGAGGCCAAGGTCGATTGCTATCTCTCCTGCCCATCCTGTTACACAGGATGGTGTTACGGGCACTCAGGATGCAGATCAGCTGCAATCAGAAACAGATCTGAACCTGGAAATTAAGAAGGCTAATAATCTCTATCAAAAGGCATGTAAGATTATTCACCTGCGTGATGCAGCAGAATCTTCTGATAAGAGAAATATTGTTGAACCAGGCATCAGAGCAACTTCTCCTCTTCAACTCACCATAGATCGGAAATATAACAGCAATGAATTTTATGAGGGTGAATTATCCTCTTGCAGTCTGACTGTGA